AAGATTTTTTTTTTTTTAATTAAATTGCAGAAGTAAAAATATATATGTATTTGTATATAGGTACAAGTATATATACCTATCTTTACAACAGTAAGCATTAGACTTCAACACAGAGAAATGTGTGGTTCAACATAAATAAGACCTCATTTTCTTTAAAAAAACGTTCAGCACCATTTCTGGAGCCCAGAGGCTTTGCAGTGTGTGCTACTACTATTAATAAAACAAGTTATAGTAGCTTTCAAAAGCTACAGTGAGGACAAAAGTCCTTTTTTCACCGGTGCTATAGGAAGTTGCATTTCTTGTCCTGTATATTTCTAGCCCTATTTTACATCTGAAAAAGCTGAGGGGAATCTACTTTCTAGTCTCTGCCATGTGTGTGCATATGTTTAGGCAAGTTAGTTCAGGTTCCACTGACTAGTTTGTGTAGAGCCAACTGTGCGATGTAGTGCCATGGTGCTGCTATGTGGCCCAGAGTCAAAATTGCAAAATCCCAGCAAGCAGCTGAATAGTTACTTGATGGGAGTGAAGTCTACACTGACTTACATGGACTGCACTGTTTTTGTAGTTTAAATCTAGCTTAGCAATGCCCGCATAGGCTCCAGTCACTGTGAAGACAACAGTGTTGACGTACACTGACATGAAGAGATGTTAATTGACTTGCCCTAGATCCCTCTTGGAAGCACCAAGAATAGGATCTAAACTTCCTCTAGACTGAATTAGCATTTTAAACACAAGATCAATAATGCACAGGCTGTGAAAGCTGTGGTGAAGACACCAAAAAAAAAATCAAAAAAACCCTCAGCCTCGTACAGATGAGGGAATGCATAGGCATGAGGAGCGTTTTGGAATGGAAAAGCCATCGTATAATCTGTGACTTTTCTGACATACACACAAAGAAAAAGATATCTTGCTCTTTTTCAATTCCAGGTGCCTTCAGAGGCACTTTCTTACTCCAGCGTGCAAGAGAAGTTGATTGTGCCAGAGAATGGGTGATATCTTCTGTGCATGGGTGGATACTGGCACAAAATGAATCTGCGGGGCTGGGTTCTGCGTAGTGACGAACCTAATAAAACAAACTACAGTAATGAACTTTCTGGGGTTTTTTTAGCATGTGAGTGCTTTCTTGAGTTTCCCAGCAAAGAAATATTTGCCTCAACAAACTTCTAAAATTCTTGAGCTCAGTAACTGCGAAGGGGTGTGAGGCTGCAGAGCACTAACCAATTCTGTCCGGTGTGTTGTCCAACTGGGACGGCGAGCTGGACACGCTGCTGCTCTGATGGGAGGAAGCGTGGCTCCCAGGCCGCTGACTGTCTTCTAGAGACGGAGCTGGAGAAGGGCTGTCTTGAATCCTTTCCTTGAAACAGAAATAAAACAAGGTCTGTGCAATTTGATTCATGAACTTGACTGAAGTTCAATGAAAAAAATGAAGTCGGCTAAAACAGCAATAACAAATGGTCTTTCCGAGATAAATAGTGAACAGAATTCACATCGAAAGAGCAGTATAGTCTTCCATAGCCAAAAGAGTATAGCCTTCTACATGCAATGTATCTGGGCACAGCTCTTCATCCTTTGTGTCATGGTGTTTGCCACCTCTTCTCATTTTTTCCTTGGTAACTTTTTACTCTCTAACTTTTTCACACATGGGAACAGAGAACGTTCCTTCATGTTGTTTTCACAAACTACTTTTAATCTACAGATAGTAAAATTGACCTATATGAGTCACATTTCAAATAAACAATTCAGATTTGGACTTAACAGTCACTAAATGCAGTCAAATTTGTAAACTCACTAGAATATGTTCCTGAATAAATTACATCAATATCTTGTAATTTATTACAAGACAGACAAAATTTAAAAGCTGTGGCACTGGTAAGAACTTCACTTCTGCATGAAAAGCACCGCTGGCTAGCAAAAATAACAATGTGCTTGCAAATTCTTATGTGTACATTTGCACACAAAACTTTGATATTAACCTCTAGTTTAAATATACATAGTACTTTAGGTAAGGAGAAGAAAAAGGGTAAGAAGTTATAAAAATTTTAACAAAATGAAATTCTGCAGTTCTGTATATCTATACTTGCAGATTGCCTGAAGATACCATGGAGTTTTTATCAGTAAAAATCTTTAGGAACAGGTTAGACAAGTGTGGCATTAAGTAATAATTCATCCTGTCTTGAGGAAGGCAAGAGATTACATGACCACTTGAGATCCCTTCCAACCCAATGATTCCACATGTATAGATTTTCTGAATTAATTCAGAATTCCAGTTCCCTTCATTCCTGATCCCAGGACCAACAGAAAATGAGAATCTTTGAAAAGGGACAGATCATGACCTGAGATACGCTAGAGATTCTTATCTTAAAATCCCTTCTATGTTTTAAATCCTCTATTAGAAGTTCTTGAAAGTGTAGTTCCAGTGGAGAGACACTAACAAGGAGATGCTTGAATTTACAGAATTCCAGAAACTGCATCTTTGGAGTTGCCCTCATCCCTGGCAACCAGCTGTTCCCTGTGGAAACTCAGAACTGAAATATTACTTTCTTTTTTTAAAAAGGGAGATCATCTTGCCCCCACCTCATTAAAAATCACAATTACACTGTGAACTGAGGAAGTTGTCTCAAAGGAACTTCGCAATTTTTCTGCCTTTCCAACCTATTCTCAAAGATTTTTCATTAGAAGTATGCAATCTGGCTACTTGGTGGCAATTTACCTTGTGCTTTTGAAAATAAACTCAACAGCATCTGAACTTTTTATGCAGTTTTTGCTAGACAGTATCCTAAATCAATATTATAGCTTTAGGAAGAGAACGGTAGATTCTAATAGTTTTTCCATTATAAATAGCTAGCATAATAGCTTCTGCTCATAACCTACTGGGGCAATTCATTAATAACACTGGCAGTACGATCAACATTTTAAGAATATTCTGTTACCCATTGAAGCCATCTCTCTAAACCGCACTCATCTTCATATTTACAGACACATTCGAGAATGATGGAAAGGGAATGTGTGACTGGATCCTCCTAATAGCAAGGGGTGGCATTTGCCCATCCCAATCACAGCAACTGAAAACACAGCACTGAATGTGTTTTTAATAGGATAGTTATTGTACATTAAATAACAACTGAGCCTCAAAATCACGTAACAGATGTGTATCTATTACATAGCTGTTAATCCTCAACAGATCTGTTTTCACTAATTATGTGTTATTTAATGAACATACAATAACTAATAAATCTTAGAGGGAGACTTTTAATTGCAATATTTTTGAATGCTAATTAAGAATGTTTATTAAGTTGTAACAGACATGAATCTATTATGTTGAGTCACAAGTTCTTAAAATTTTGAAAACTGACTGGTTTTAAACAAATGTTCAAATTCTGGGGGAAAAAAAGTCAAAGTCACTGATCTTAAAGTCTCCTGTGTTTCCTTCTTCTCAGTCTCCAAAAGAGTGATTTTAGAGGTTGCCGAGATGAACGGAAGAGTAAAAGAGAGTCACGACTTACTCTGTGGATGGGTTGCTTCTTGAGTTACTTTTAAAGGAAGTCACATTCTTACCCCAAGAAGTATTCTCCTAAATAAATGATGACTCCTATACATGCAATCCTGAGCTTATAAATACTGTGTGCCTTTTACCTTTGTGTAAATAATAGCTTCCAAATAGGTTACTGCTAACAGGCTACAACTCTGACTGTAATTTTATTTGCCTGGATTTCAGTTTTAACAGTCCTCTTTGGCACTATTTCCTCTCTTTTTACCACAACGAGTACTCAATTTACAATTAAGATATCATTTTGAAATGATTACTTTCACAGAAGAGTACATCGTTTAAGTAAATTTCATTGTCTATTGCGACCATGAAAATGAATAGCCAAGGAGAGGACATGCCAACTGTTCTGCCAAAAAAACTATGAACAAATATGACTATGAATTAACACTTAGATATCACACAAACAGCCATATATGTCATCTTAAATGGGAGTTATCTGAGTAATTCAAAAGCTGATGATTTGGAAAAGCAAAGTATTGGAGCTCCTTCTGGTAACTGCATTTCCCATTCTCTTGCTATAAAATAATCTCTGCTTCAAGTAATTTGCCTTCAAACTCAGGGTCTTGGTTTGAAATGTTCAGGCAGAAATAAAAGTGTCAAATAATAATGTCATTCTTAATCACACAGTGAATCACCTTCTAGGAGAATTAGTTGATTATGTCATCTAGCGTCTTACCAGTTACAAAAATTTACATAGAGGGAAGATACACTTCTCCCTATAAGCAACACAGGAGCTGGAATTTTCTCTGTATCACATGTACAACAAACGATGATAGAGCATCATCACGTAAGACTGCATATGGATCAAGAAATTGTTTATTTCTAAATGTTTGTGTGTAAATGTAATGCTGAATTTCCCCTACTATAATGAGTAACACTACGAACAGACTCTTTTTCTGCAAGTAAACAGATCCATTTTTCAGTCCTGTAATCAGTATGCATCTATTTAGCTACTTAACAGCAATGTGCTCTGGTTCATTAGGTAGCTACTGTTGTGTCTCAGCCTAGTTAAAATTTCACAGCAAGTTAATCTATTTTATTACAAATGAGAACACAAGTGATAATGTCCTCACCATTTTCCAAACACAGGGTTAACAGTATTTGTAACAAATCAATGAGGGCATTTAAATAGGAAAATTGCAAATCTAAAACCTTCACTTTTTTTACACATTGATGACTTCATTTTATTTGTCACCTATGTATTTTACAACCTTGTTACTTTTCATACATTTTATTTTTTTCCTCTTGAAAATAGCTCAGTTTCCACCAGCACACTGCTGCGCAGCCTGGTTCTACAGTAGGTACACACACAGTAATAGAGAAGCATTTCTAAATAAAGTCATATTTTCTCCATTTCTGTTTCTTCCTATTTCATAAATTTGCAAGATTCACATTCCAGATTCTAATGTAATGAATTGTATATATAAAATTTACAGATTCTGAGAATTTTATGAAAAATGAAAACATTTTTCAGGATCTCACCTATTTATCTAACTATAGTACCTACTTTATCTTTTCTCTTCCCTTTACAGAGCTGTAACATAAATTCTCCAAAAAGACTTTTGCAGTATTTAATCCTTTTGAAGGGTAATATATTTCTGTCTCACTGAAGATCAGTGTCTTTCTTTGGCTCAGAAAGTGTAGCTACAAAGCTTGACATTGTTAATTTTAGTTGTGATTTAGGTTAACGGCACTGAAGTCATCAACTCATCCAATTTCCAGATACATCCTTGATTTCACCTCAATATCCCTTTTCTATCCCCTGCGAGGTAGTATTCCACACAAATAATATGAAACACTACATAACAGTTGCATCCACACTAGTTTTATTTGAAATATATATGAACAGCTTACCTATTTCTGACATAATCATCTTGACCTTAATTCCTTCCCTCTGATTTTTTTATAGTATTGATCTTCATTTTGTGTCAAGAGTTTAGAGATATGATGCTGCTGGATTTTTCTTTATTTTTCTTTATTCTTAGTTCTAATCTAGCTGTAATTACTCTTCCAAATGTTAATCTATTAATGAGTTCCTAGAGGATTTAATGGCATTTCACTGCTGACAAGCAGGTTTTGGAAGTTTGTCTGAGTCCCGGATATTTTATTCAGACATTTATCTTGATATTTCATATTTAATTGAGGTGCTGCCTTTGTAGTCTACAGGCTCTGCAGTGGCAGGAGAGCTGGAATTCATCAGACCTCGCTAATGAAACGGACAGGAAGGAAAATTGGGGATTCTACTGTCTTTAGGTCTAGACTAGAGTTTTCAACTGTTGCAAGAAAGATTCAGAGCTGATGACCATGTTGGAAAAACAGAATGTTCATAGGCTCTGGCAGAATAAATTTTCCAACATCAATTTGCACACTAGTCCCCCACTGGAATGTTTGTTGTGCCACACGTTGATCTCCCAGTGCTTGCCAAATCACCACTCAGGTTCTCAAAATGCACTACACAGTTAAGAAGATCTAGCAACCAGAGTCTCATTTCTCTGGAGGGGTCTGTGAAGCCAGGAGCAGTCAGCCAGGAGACTGGCTGCAGACCTCCTCACCTCCTATCCAAAACTACCACAATTTCATGCCTGTGATATCGCTGTTCCTATCTCCCTGGCTGAGTTCCATCCTCAAGAAGAGAGAAGAATAAGAAAAGTTAACAAAATTTCAGTTAGCAAAGAATTGAACTGCTAACTTTTTTTTTTTTTTTTAGTTAATACTAAGACACATATTTCTTTCCAATTCCTCCTCACCTCCTATCCAAAACTACCACAATTTCATGCCTGTGATATCGCTGTTCCTATCTCCCTGGC